GGTCAAAATCTTTACTATTTTAAGGATCTCACACACTTGCACAATTCCCATGCACTGAAATTACCATCTCCTTCTGGGCCACCCCTGGCTCCCCAGCATCAGTCAAAGCTCCTGGTTTCTGAATGAAGATCTCCCGGTTAGATGACGCGATTCCCACGTGAGGCCAGCCCTCCCTACTCCAGAATTCACAAAGAGACTTTCGCCCTAAATTATCTTTAATTAGCAGAATTAGGGAATTCCTTAACTTTCTTCATTCATTCAGTCCACAGACACCAAGGATCTACTATCCCAGATGCTTGGGGAACACCAGAGGTTAACGCAGACCGCTGCCCCGCAGACCTTCACTTCTGTTCCCTAGATCCCCCCCCCCCGATGGCACAGAGGTCCATGAGGGGGACAGAGCCCATCTCCTCGCCTGAAGTGTCACTCTCATGCTGCACTTGTCACCCCACAACCAGAGCCACCTTTCCACCGCACACAGCATTCGCCATCCACTCCCACAGCATCGACTCAAATGCACGGCATGTGGTCCTTCGGGGTTTGATCTCAAAGTGGAGAACTGCATTAACCACTCCGCAGGGTGGCTGTGGGCACCAACAGAAGAGAGACCCCTAACTTGCCCACTGGCGAGCACCCACGAGCACCGAGGGGAGCCCGCTGCCACGCGGATGCCCCTGCCCTCAATCCTCACAGCCACGCGGTCCCTGCAGGCCTGCACCCATGCACAGTACTCGGGTTCACAATGTCCCCTCGACGGTGTCCCAAAGCTTTGGAAACTCCCGAGCCTGTGACACGGGGTCACCTTTCCACACCTGCCCAGTTCAGCCTCCTCGCCTCCTGTTCCGCCCACCCTGGCCGCCTGCTGTTCTCAGGCAGGCCCACCCTTTAATGTCTCTGCTGTCCCGGCAACCCCTGCTGCCCAGTTCTCAGCCTCCAGACTTCTGCCCACCTGTTGAGGACCAGCCCAAACCCCGCGCCTCCCCGGGAGGCCTTCCCGCTGCCCCAGCAACTGTCACTTGCACCCGTTACAGGAGCCTTTGTCTTCCTGATACACAGCACCCCTGATGCTTGAGAACACAAACGAAGCTCCCTGGAACCCGACACGTGTACAAGTCATCACAGCCCAGATGTGTCCCACCCAAATGCACGTGTGAGGTGGGCGGACAGCAGGGACAAGGGTGGCAAGCTGTATCCACTCCTTCACTTGGTCCCACCTTAACAGTCAAATTCACATCCTGGCAAAACGACGCCCTGCGACAATCAACAGCATCCATGAATCTGAACGTGCTGTGGTCTAACGTATTTGACTATTAAACCATCGACTCTCACGAGATTACAATTCCTTGAGAAAAGGAACTTTGAGCTAGTCAACACATTTATCTCTGTACCTCTCAGAATATCACACATTCAATTCAGGTGTTTTGTATAAAGAATGAACTGTGGACAAGAAGAATCTAGAGTGGACCAGACTTGCTCGACCAATTTTTCAATCTTAATGGCCCAACACCAACCTGAAGGGAGTTCTTCCAAGAGATAACTCAGCAGGTGTGATGCTCACACATTCAAAGGGCTGCAGTGGGCGGCGGGGGGCTTCTGTTTAGGAGAAGGTCTCCCTGTCTAAAGGAGAAAGCCTGCTTCTGGAAAGCAGATTTCCAGGGCCCACTGACCTCACTGGACGTGGTGGGGTGACTAAGTCCCACCAGCCCAAGAGGTGGGCACACACGCCAGCGAGTGGGAGGACGAGCCTGACAGCAGCCTGCTGTGGACTTCGTCCAGACTCCCCTCCCACTTCAATGAGTGCAGCAAAAATAAACTATGTAGTTAGAGTCAACTAAAGCACACCCTAAACTGAAAGACTCCGCCTGGCAGGAGTAACAGCTACTCACTCATTAATTCAACGAAATGCCCACTGAGGTTTGCCCTAACAGTAAACAGCAGGCAGCAGGAATATGTGTATTATTTGACCATCAAGAAATAGGACAAATGGTATTAATTTTATTTTGAAGCTAAGGATGACAACAGGTAATGCTGCTCAGCAGCCTAGCACGTGTACGTCGGCACGTCTTTACCGCCTGCCTCCCCGTCCTGTGGTCTGGACCCACGGTCAGCGCTATGACCCTACACCATGGCACCTGACTCCCACCCGAAACACTGTCCATATAGAAATTGGGAAACTGCCTTTGCTTGTTCAGGGGGGAAAAAAACCTAATCGCTAAACCAAAATTAGGCATATTTTAAAAATCAAACTCCCCGTGCGTCCCCCAGGGCTCCCTTCCTTGGGGCACACGCTGGTCTCACATCTCTTTTGAGTATTTTTCCACAGACAAGCACGTACTCTTCTTAGAGGCTATCTTCACAAAAGTGTCCGTATTTCTTGAGTGGTAAGTTGCTTTTCTTTGCCCTTGGTATTACAGATGCCTTTCCATGACCCAAACAAAAACCACATGTGGTATCTCTAATTAGCTATGTTTTTGTGGATTTTTGATTGTTTTTGTCTTTATAAGTTTATCTTCTACTAACTATGCTGACAAGATCTTTCCTTCATTTATCCTCAGCTTACCTTTCCTGCTCGATGCTCAAGATGGCAAAATTTTTCTCTGTGTGAATTAATCTCTTGAGTTTCAGAAACACATTCTCGATTTTGACATCCTACGGGCTCCTCTGAGGTAAAGTGTTTGCTTTGCTTAATCTTATCAACTCTGCTCCTTGCTTCACAAGTCCAGCTGACATAGCAATTTCCTGTTTGCACAACACTTCCAAACCATTCCCGATCATTTAATCGACAAAACGCTTCCCTTAAAGAGCAATCACTGCTTCTGTGGAATGTTAATAGGGCCAGAGGCTGCAAAACACTTTCTCCTGCTGACATCCAACCCTGTTCTTGTTCTTGAGGGAAAAACAACTGCTTAAAGAACTGATCTCGTAATTATCATAATTACCTTTCTACATATAAAAATTAATGCTTGCTGTTTTCAAATTCAAGCACAGTAAGTACCTGGTGCCAAACTAGATGGTTAGACTCATCAGCCTATCCCCCAAGGCTTCCTTTCCTGATGTGAGCAGCCCAGTGGCTTAATCTCATGAGATGTGGCGCCCCAAGGAGGTGGGAGGTAGCCCCGGCTGCTACTCCAGACACAGGTCCAGGAAGTATGCTGGCCCTCAAGCACACAGAGTGAACAGAGGACCCAAGGGATATGGAAATAGGTGGGAAAATCCTTTAATAAGCACATTTAAACTATTAGTATTTCACAGTTTGCGACCGTTTTTGGACAACTAAAAAAACCCATTAATATTGGTGCTTCCAACCTCACGATTTCAGTTCTCACAGTAACACCCAGGCTTTGACTCCTCCATCTAGACCCCTTCCCTGGCAATTCCTTTCTGTGACTAAAACAACATTCTGAAGAAGAATGCAGGACATCAGAATGATCGTTCCTGACACGCACCCCAATGTTCACAGCAGCGCTATTGACAACAGCCAGCACCTGGAAGTAACCTAAATGTTTATCAACAGATTGCCAATAAAGAAGTTGTGGTCTATGTAAACAATGGAATACTACTCATAAAAAAGAATGAAATGCCATTTGCAGCAACAGGATGGACCTAGAGATTGTCATACTAAGTGAAGCAAGCCAGAAAGAGAAAGAAAAATACCATATAACATCACTTACATGTGGAATCTTCAAAAAAAAAAGGGGGGGGGCACAAATGAACTTCTTTACAAAAGAAAGAGAGACTCAAAGTCACAGAAAATAAACTTACGGTTACCAGGGGGAAAGGGGTGGGAAGGGATAAATTGGGAGTTTGGGATTTGTAAATACTACTATATATAAAATAGATAAACAAGGCCCTACTGTATAGCACAGGGAACTATATTTAATACCTTGTAATGGCCTATGATGAAAAAGAATATGTATATGTATAAATGAATCACTATGCTGTACCCCACAAATGAACACATTATAAATTTACTGTACTTCAATAAAAGTAAAAAATTAAAAATAAATAAACAAAAACTAAAATGATCATTCCTGAGGCACTCTGTACATGAAACCTTCAGAGAAATCCCAAACATCAGCAGAATCAAAGCATACTGTATGAAAATCAAAAACGACAGAGCAATTAAAAGGATGTGGAAGTCACCAGATTCACGTTACAGGAGGAGTGATGGTCGGTGCAGGTGGAGAATCTACGTGTCATCAGGACAGGTCTCAGCCCCCCACGCAGCAGAAACCCCCTCATCTTCAGGCGACACTTGGGGCGTGTTACGCGGCAGCTCCTGCACGTCTTCCTCACACCCAGCATCCCTCGTCCCCAGGGGCACCTCACTCAAACCCTTGCTTTCCCCTCCGCTGTGGGGCAAAGACAGGACTGTTATCTCATTTACTACTAAAGACATATCATATCTTATCAGTGCCCACAGCTGCAATCCTTAAAACCCTGGTAGCAGCGCAGGCTTCCTTAACCCAAGACAAGGAAATAAACAGGAGGACTGGGCTGACCCTTATGTTTGTAACAACAACAAAGATGTCGACTGCTTAGCAATGAATGGTCATTAAAGTCCACTTTTCACTGATGAGACAACTATTCATTAAGTACCACTGGGCTCCTCGGACTACACTCTCCACCAAGTGGGAGAGAAGCATGATTAGCTTGTTACTAAGCAATCAGAGAGCAGACAAATCTTAACCTGCAGCAACACGCTGGTAAAAGTGCCACGGGCATTATTCTCATGACTAAATGTAACTGAGGATGAGCTGCTTCAGGAACAAAACTCAGTCTCGGTCTAGGCCCTGCACCATCTCCTGCATTCCGCACGCCCGAGCACGTGGCAGAGCGGCCTGAACACGCGTCCTCGACACGCTGCTTTCCCTCGTGGTAAGGAACAAGGTGTGTGTGTGTGTACACGTGTGCACGCGCGCGCGTGTGTCCGTGCGCGTTTTCTTCTCTGCCATCCATTTTCACCAGCACAGACTAGGAAAAGGCTCCGTGAAACTGACCTGCTGAACGTCCTGCTGGAAAACGCACAGCTGCAGCCTCTGGTGGAGCCGGACCTTGCGGTGCTGCCAGATGTTTTCCAGCTGCCGCTGGTGGTGCAGCACCTCGTGGATGACGTCAAGGACGTGGTGCACGGCCTTGGAGTAGTTGGCAGAGGCCGTGAGGGAATCGGAGCTGCCGGGAGTCAGGGGCCGCTGGAGCTTGTCAAGGAGTGACTTCCCGTCCTGACTCACCTGCCCGCAAGACAGAAGAGCGACTGTAAGCGAGCGATTATTCACCATCTGCAGCTTTGCCCAGGCTGTGCTGCAGAGCCTGGCCTCCAACACGTGTGCACACACTTGTGCAGACAACACACACTCACACACACACACACTTGCACACAAATGTAAACCACAGTTTTAGTTTTACTCAAAGGCGTATTTTAAAAAAAACAAAATAAAATTTATAATACATCCATCAAGTATCTAATGATATCATGAAACCAAATACAGTAGAACCGAATTAAGATTTTTAAAAAACATTCACTAGTATAAAACACTGTAGTAGACACTAGTCTTATAAACATACATAGTATTTTGCTTTAAATGATGCATCAGCTGATATAAAAATCGCATTGCTGGGATATCTGCAAATTAAAATTTATAAGAAATAATTTTCTTGAGATATGTTAGAGAGAACACAACCATCACAATGGAGAAAATTTAATGCTGAATATTGAAACCTCACTTTAAAAAATCAGTAATCTAGCACTAGGCAAAAAATGTGTACTTTAACTTTCTGGTGGATAGCAATTTTACTTCACAAAATAAAAAGAAAATTAAAAAGTGCCATTTTATTTGGTTCATTAACTTCAAAAAGTAATTTTAATTAAATGCCATCACTTTTCAAAGGAGATTGCAGTGCTATATTACAGTCGTTAACTATCAAAGTACAATTAAAGTATTGAGACTAACCAAAAAAAAAAGAAGAAAAGGTGAGGGTAGAATATGAAAAGAAAAGAATTACGTATTTTTTACAGTTAAGTGATTCTTAAACCATTTGAATGATTCTGCCAGAGGCGGTAGAAATAATATGATCAGACTGCTGATCATCACCATGATCTCTCTGCTCAAACACTTCAAATCTGAAAGCCTCCTTGGGTTTCTACCGAAAGGAGGAGCAACCAGGAGCCGAGTTAACAGACACAGACAGGGCTCAGAGGCAAGCCACCAGGACAGGGGAAGGGGGGAGTGAGTGAACGGGACAGGCTAAGGGAAGCCTTTAGCAACCAAAAACTGGCGGCAAGCGAGAGGCCTGTGGAGTTTTCTAATCTGTTCCTTTAATCCTCTTACAACTTTAAGTCCTGCTGGCAGATAACAGGTTTGTTTTCTAATACCTGAGTCTGAGACCTTTGCTGGAAGTGCTGACTACTCCTTATGAAGGCTGGCTGCCAGCCTTCGGAGATTAGAACTGACCAAATACATGGAGATCGCAAGGCTGGTGTGGAAACGAGCCAAGCTGACACAACCACAGAGGGCGGGAGTAAAGGAGCCGACTGAGCCACCGAGTCTGGGTCCGGCACGTGTACACACACACAGTGGAGACGCAGGTCTTCTCAAGCAGGGAGCTGCCCCTCGGAGTCACGGAGACTCGCAAGGGCACTTTTGAGACAATGATTTGGGGAGGGTAGGCACAATGACTGATCTGGGGAAGAGATTTATTGTGACAGATTCAGCGGCAGGATATTACCTCAAAATGAAGAATTGTCCTGCTTTCTGTAATTATCTGAGCTAGGCTTTATTTAACATATAACCATGATTCTTCTTTCTTTTCCTTTTTTTTTTTTTGCCCCTCTAACAAATACTGATTTTTCCAGGAATGCAATTATCATGTTATCAAAGGAAGACAGCACTTGGTTTTCTTCTGAACTTTACAGGAGCTGCTTACCATTTCAAAATATCAGCACAATAATACCATTCTCAGTATCTGAGTCAACAACACAACACAATGGTTTTATATGAACTACCAGCATCTGAATAGCTAATGTTTTCCTCTTACATTGTGCACATACTCAGCACTTATAGACTAAAACACACATTTTACCATATATCACCTTTCTTTTGTCTCTAATTTATATGGTAACATATATGTCATTTATGTATATACACATAAATTTTTGTGACAATAGATTATCACCTATACAGTTTATTTCAGCAGGCAGCATGAAGTTTCAGTTAAACAATGGTGGTGAAGCATTTCTTAGGACTGAGAACCAATACCCCAAGTCACATATTTCACACTGTACAGAGCCTAGAAAGAATTCCTTACAAATATTCTCTCCAAGTTTTACCCTTTATACTATGCCTCAGTCAGGAAATATACACTAGAGCATATGACTTGGTGAACATGTGTCAGAAAGATACAGATCAGAAGGTGTGGCAGAAACTGACAGCTGCCTCCCCAAAGTCCACTCGTCCCTCCTTGTGACAGCCAAGCCCCTACAGTCAGAAACAGCAACACCCCGGCCATCAAACTACATTTCCCAGCCTCGCTTACAAATAGGCGTGGCCGACATACAAAAGTAAAAAATGTTGAATGGGCTTCCAGGAAAGCTGTTTAGGAGGCTGAATTTGCTCATGCCCCCTTGCCTTTTTTCTTCTCCCTGGTGCCAAGAAGCTGGTAAGATGGCTGGAACTTGATGACCTTAAGGCAGCCTTAAGGATGGCAGCCCACCTGCTACAAGAGGCAAAACAAAAGGACAAAAGGATACAGAGATCCTCTTCCTAACAGAGGCCTGGAATGCAAGCCCTGGGACTTCTGCGCTGGCAGAAAGCAAACCTCTTAACTTAAGCCATTGTTTTGGATCTTAAACCACAAAACAAAGTGACAAATGGGTTCCCAGCCCTCACCAAGTTTCCAGAGGCATCCAGGTGAGCCCTCACCAAGTTTCCAGAGGCATCCAGGTGACACCATTAATATTCTACTACTGAGAATGAGTAAACAATCTGAACAAGAACATTCCAACTAATCTTCATTGGGTATCTCTGCAACTGTTTGACAGAGCTCAAGAGCAGGTATCATTACTGGGTTTAGAACAACATGCCTACTCATGGTGGAGGGGTGATGGGGAATGACCAAGCAAGCACATGCACAAACAATCACCTTAATATGAAAGAACACGTTAAGCAGAGCTCTGCCTTCTGGGAACTCATAAGCAGGGATGAAACCATCTCTGTCGGTGCCACTGTTGATACTGTCATTTGGTGGTAGAGACAGTGCCAGAAGTGGATAAAAAGAATCCTGAGTAAGAGGACACCTGCTGCACTGAAACAAGACCCCATGGGAACTCCAAATGCGTGTTCATGTGCAGCAATTCTCCAGTAAAGCTTTCAGATATAATTCTACTTTATTTCAGTGCAGCTTTCACCAAAGGCATTATTTAAACATACATAGGATACCACATATTTTAACAACTGTAAGTAAAATGTCTTTGTAAGTTCAGTAGTACTATGTGGGGAAAAATATGCTAGAATTTTATGAAAAGAACTGCTCTACTGTACAGAAATAAGGACTTTTAAATGGTAAGAATAACCAGAAAATCAATGAAAGAAAAGACTGACAACAGCAGCCAAAATACTCACATATAATTTAAGTACCAAAACAATTAATACATGTAAGTTTATGGTATGTGGTATCATTCCGGATTTCTTAACTATAGAACCAGGTGAATTAATCTACTTAAGTTATATGCTTTGTCTAAAAATGTGTTTTTAGCTTTCAGGCAGTCAAACCCTGTCCCACAAAGGACAATACTTGTTAAAAAAAAAAAAGTCAACCTTTATTATCAAAAGGCAGGACTTCATGCTTTAATTTTGAAGCATGACAAATGGGCTCATTTTTTCAGTCTTCCCTTTGTTCTTGGAATACAGTGCTCGGTAACTTGAAGGGCACTGGAAGTTACATTTAATAAAGCGTAGCATTTTATACATGAACTAACACGCTCTAATACCTAAATGAGTTAAGAAAAATGCAAGTACCAAATAAAGCCAGGAAAGGGGCTGAAGTTTAAAATTTTACCACATCCTAGGTACGTTTGTTTCTAATACTTAAGAGGAAACTTGGCTGTTTAAAATCTAGAACAACGGTCTGATTCCTGAGTGTTTAATTTTAATTAAAACTGTGAGTAAGATCTGTAACTTGGATTCTTGTGTACCACCCTAAAAACAGTTCTGCCAACCCTCACAAAAGCTTGCCTATTCTTATTTCTAGTACTTGGGGCTACCAGAAAATCAGATTAGAGCTTAGAGTCTCTAGCAGGAATATTCTTCACTTGCACACAGAACGCTGCTCTGATCTAAAGAAAGAGACCAGTTACCTGGAGATTACTGCTCAAGGTGGCAAAAACCACCATCCAAGAACCAAGTGTGACCTGTGATGGGTGAGCTGGGCCCCAGCGTGGTGCTGTGCAGTGCTAGGACAGCGTTCCCAAGGTGTGATCAAAACAGGCAAAATGCAGCCTACATAAAGGCACGGCCAGACATGACTACAGGCAGCACATCATGAAGAAAGGGTGATCCTTCAGAAGCTTTAGAAAATGAACCACACTCCTTGTATCAGCTCAAACCAGCATCACCTGCTTTGATTCCTCTGCAGGGCACAGACCTCCATGCCAAGTCCAGAAATGTTCCACAGCCCCACCATCCTCTCCCACTCCCGTGGAACTCTTCTCCAAATCGAGGCTCTAACAAAGCAGGAAAGAGTGATGAAGGGTCAGCGTGCTAGCACCCAGCTTACTCTACAGGTGTGGCTGACACTCCTCAGCCAGAGAGGCAGACACACTCCGTCTCGGAGCAGGAATTTCAACCTGTCTTAAAACGGCTCCTCAAACAAGCTGCTGCCACTAACACAGGCGAGTGACCTTCTGAAAGGCCACATGCAGGTGGCAGTGTCTTCCCCAAGCCTAGGGGTCCTTGCCTTCAGAGGCCAGGGCTTCCTCTGAGCTGGTTCTTCTTCCAGCGAAGCTCTTAAAATGGAGCTCTGAAAGCCTATTTCCACTGCTCTCAGCTATTAGATTTCTTACTCAAAACCAGACCAACCTAACCATGTCTGGCTCTCAGACAAGGAAAACCAAAACAAGACCAAAACAGGAAACTGCTGGCATGGCCCCGCCAGTGAGGTCACCTGGATGCAGAGAATACGTGTGTTCTGTAGGTTCCACGTGGGCTTGAGGTTTCTTGCTCCAGTATTTCAAGCC